AAATGCCAAAAAGAGCTTTAGAAATAAATTGAAACTTCAAATTAACTTAAGTTTTGCAGGGTTCTAAACAGACAAGGTTTCCTTTTTTTGGAAAATTTCCAGAAAACATCTTTCCCCCAAAATTAAGAAGTTATTTTTTTCCCTTTCTTTTATTCGATATTTTGTCAACTTTTGCAGAGCCACAAAGTTTCCTTTTTCTTTTTGTTACTTTGCATGCTCTCAAAACTTGGGGAAGTTTACAACTGTTGGCAAAAGGGGAAAAAAAGAATCCCCAGACACTGTGCATGCTATTTTAGTCTGTGGTAAAAAGGAGGGATGAGGAGGATACAATTAAAATAAATACAGAAAAATTAAACTTCTGATATTCAAGATGCCACATATTTTAATTTCAATGAAAACTGGAAAGAAAAAAAAAATTGAACTACTTAGTGAAGTTTTCAGTTCCTAAAAGGCCATATTTTGTCAGAAAAGTTTTAAGCACAAACAAGTTACGTTCTCTAGTTGCAATGTTGGCTTCCTTACAAATGAGTACTTGTGGAAAAAGCATTTTTTTCTGAAGAGGAGATGGCAATCATGTTCCTTTTGTTTGCTTCAGGCATCCCCTGGAAAAAAAAATAGCAGTCCCTGTGAGAACACAGCATCTGACCTTGGTTACTAAGGCAACCAGTTCTGTATGGTATCAGCTCTGGGATCAGGGATCAGCCATGTTTGTTCATCCTTTCAAACTCAGGCTGCCAGGGTGACCTTGAAATATGGCAGATCTCAAAAGATACATTTTTATTCATAAAAAGCCTATAGAATTCTTATCAGCTATGTTTTCTTTTAAAAAAAAATCTTCAACAAGCAAGCAATGCAGCAATGGGTCCTGACTGCTTTCCCCGTGTTATTTAGCATTGTGCATATTAGATGGCATAATGCTTAAAGGGCTCATGGACATCTGAAATGTCATAGGTTATTCAGTGTCTTCTCACAGCCAGCCAGGACTATTTCTGCAGCCTGGAAAAGATGTAGTCATGCACCCATTCTACCCTTAATCCTGGCAGATGCTAAATTAAACCAGTGGAGGTTATGGCATCTTCAGGGCAGTAGTTGTCTCACCAGTGAGGACCACTCAAGGGCATTGTTTTCTAGCCCTCGCTCTCTGTCTACCCTGATCTGGAACAGCCCAACACCAAAGTTGTGCAATTGGCTTAGAGCTCTAGATATTACTGCCTAATGTCTGCCGAGGATTTGGGGGAATCTTCAGGTGCTGTTTTAAGACAACACCAAGTTTCCTTTGTGCTACCTGGTTTTTGGTTGTAGTTGTGTTGGTCTAAGGACATGGGCAGGCAAGGTTCTTTGGGTAGATGTGATATCTTTTATTAGACCAACTGAGTCTAATAAAAGCTGGTGTAATAAAAGATATCACATCTACCCAAAGAATCTTGCCTGCTTTTGTGCTACCCACCCCACTGATACACACAGCAACTGTTAGTAGGCAAGGGATGGGTTTTGTGGTACAGTCTCCTTCTACACTAAGTCCTGTCTTGGTTTTCTACAATGCTTTAGTTAGTTGTATCTTACTGTGCAGTGATCCTCTCTAGGTTCTGTTTCCAGACATTTCATAATTCATGATGAAGAAACTAGCAACTTTGCATCAGTTGCTATCTGGCAAATCAAGGGATCCGACAGGCTCCTGATCTCTGTGCATGACAGCTCATGTCATGTAAAATGAATCCAATCATCTGTCTGCATATCAATTTATTACAACCTCATGCACTGACTTTAGGGTGCCATGAATCCCACCCTCCATTTCACTATGGGATAAGACTGTTTGACCCCTTATTCTCATCAAAGCAATTCATTATTAAACTTGGTTTCGTACAATAATAATGCAAAAAGCATGTGCCTGGTGCTTTATTAACTTGAAGAATTATGCTTTCAGCAATGTATCAGAAAATATTTTATCTAAGATGTATTGGCTGTTAAATTTGCATTTGAATTTCATTACCCATCACTTCACATGCAGAAACAACCCCAGAGAAAGCAGGGACCACATTTATCATCTTATACCACTTTGTCACTAGAAAGAAACCAGAAGAGCATTCCTATTTAGTTAATCCATAGTCTCTCTATCAAATCATTGCTTTGATTGATACCTTCATTAATTGCCTTGCAATTATTTTTGCTGGATGCGCCCTTATAAACCACTTTACACACAAAATGGAACCTATAAAGGGTGGCAGTTAAGCATTTTAGAGTACTAAGAGCCCAGTATTTCCTTTTTCCTTCCCCTTTTCTGCCTTATCTATTTAGATTGTAAACTTTTTGTAGCTGGGACTCCAAAGAATATCTGGTGTTGAGGGAGGGCTCTAAGGCTTACTGCACTGTAGTATGATTATTAATCATTCTACTATGTACTAATCATCTCCAGTGAGCTTCTGAACACCTTCACATCCCATTGATGTCAATGGTTCTTGCAAGTTCTTTATATTACTTAGCACCAGGCTGTTGGCTATTTCTGGGGAGGATGGCTTTGTTTCTCTTTTGGTGACACCACGTGATCCATACTTGTCTAAAGGACAAACCAAAAAGACATGTAGATCCTTTTGCAAGTATGCTAAGGGCCCATATGCGAGGAGGCCCGCTAGTTCAAAAGCACTGCATGTGGTTGTAAGGATATATGGAGCTGTGCTGAACCTGTTGCAGGATCAGGGTCTACATCAGCAAAACCCTTTTGTGTTCTCTCTCCAGGAATGGGAATAAAGATGAAGGCCTGAAAATAAAAGGGCCTGAAAGTGCTTAGACATTTGGATGGTTTACAAAAGGAGACAAATAACATTTTTCCGTGTTTATGAGGTCCAAAGAGTCAGATTGAAGTAAATGGGAAATTATATATTAGGGAATATTTAGAAAGACAAGAGCCTCTAGGCCTCAATAACCAGTGAAATTCCCTTCTGTATATTCAGATGTAATGGCAGTTACCCAGGTTGAAGCAACCTGGAGGTGCTGTAAAATTTTCCTGCAGGCAGTTTGAGCTAGCCTAATGTATTTCAAAGCTTGCAGAATAAGCTAAAAATAAAAAAGTGCTGTAACTCAATTCTTAATATCTCATTAAGTTTTATGAGCATGGGGGGACAGAAAAGAAAAAAAAAATAGAAAAGAAGAGGCAGCACTGTGGGCTCTTTGCACAAAGCCTACAAAACAGCAATAAACAGCCAGCTTGCCATTAGCCTTAGAGACAGTTTATAATACTTTTGTGATGTGTCTCTTCTGCTTCATGGAAGCATTAAATCAGCGAAAGGTGGTAGTGGCGGTGTTCCTTTCTCTCCCCTCCCCGGAGGCATGGACCACAGCAATCAGAAAAAAATGACATTGCACATGAAAACACAATGCCACTTAAAACAGCACAACTCTGCCTGATGGGGGTGGGGTAATGGGGAGGGAGTGGAGTTCAACCAGAAATTGCAGGGAAACCTATTTGAGTCCTGTTTCAAAATAAGCATTTGCTTAAGCTTGAAGAAGTCACTCACTGTATGTTAATTACTGTAAATGGTGAGGATTAAAACTGATAAAAGCAATACATCTCATTCCAAAATAATTAGCTGTAATGATATGTTTGTGCAGCACACAGAAAAAGCATTTTAATAGGGATCAGCCCACTCTATGCGTATATACGTGATTGCATATCCAGATGATGCCCTCATACAATGTCTTACAGATGGTAGCCAATCAGTTCTATTCAGATTTTCAGAGGTTCCACGCACCTGCAGTCCTTATTGATATCAGCCAGTTGTGTTGGCACTCAGGATCTCAGACAGTCTGGACATTAGTCTCATTCTCTTCTCCTGTCAGATAAATATGACTATTCTCATTCTATTTATTGGGAAATGAAAGAGGGGAGATTGCATGACTTGGTCAATAACACTGAGGGAGTCACTGGGGAGAAATAGGATTTGAATTTAGGTACTTCTATCCCTGGGGTCAAGACCTAATCACCAGACCATACATCTAACCACTAGACCTCAAACACTTGACTCATTCCATATTGTACACACTCAAGGATCAATTCTGCTTAACCTATAAATAAGTGACACTGACTCCCTTTGTGATAGTGACCAAGTTATTTAGTCTGTCACAATTTAGTTTATCAATACATGAAGTAGAGATTAAAAAAAAAAAAGACTAGTCCTCTAGCATACAGCTACAGCAATTTTAGCATGTTTAAATGCATTCACAGGAGTGGTTTTTCCCTTAGGTTACAAATCTGATTTTCAATATGCAGGCAGGAGCCAAAGTTTTATCAGTATTAGGCCTAACCTGCATCAGGACTAAACATGGGAAACATATAAACTCAGAAAGAATGATGAGGTGGGGGAGGAAATGCCTATTTAATAGACCTGTCTGTTTAAACTGTTCCCTCCTAAACCATAGTAACTTGCATAATTCTTAGTAACTTGGATTCTGATGAAAGCCTAAGTGTGAGAGTACATGATTGCTCTAGCTTTTTCACTAGCATTTAACTTGGAAGGTCCAAGGGTTCCTGACAGGTGCTGACTAAATAAGTCTTCAGTGTGACCCAGTTGTATCTTCCTTTAGCTTAGCCCTGATTTACAGGGATGGTAGGTCTGTAGGTTCTATAGTTAGTATTGCCTTTCTGCTTCATGCTGCATGCTTCAAATAGAAATACCTCTACAGACAGTAAAACAAATAGAGTTTCAGTAACAAATGCCACGTCCACTTCTTATATATATGCAAACTCCATTGGAAAGATGACACGCATTCATGCCTGAAGTAGTATGGCGTCTGTCCTGGGGAGCTGTATTAGTGTTCATCTTGTCATTTGCTTTTTCCCCTCAATTGATCCCAGGTGGAAACCCTATCTGCTGCAGCTGGAGAGGTGGATGGATGCTTCTCAAATGGCAGCTGAAGCTCTCCTAGAAGTAGGAGTTATGAGGAGCTGCATGAAAAATGAAGGGTAGGGGAAGAAGATTTACTCCCAGTTTTCTGCCTCTCTACTGCACCATGGATTCTTGGATTAGATCCCTTGCTAGAGTGTTGTTGACACTACTTGGTCTAGTTTTGTGGGGGGCTGCTGCAGCTCTGGCCTTTGGTGGAGCTTTTGTGATCCTTACATACAAGAACTACAGGTGGTTCTTTCAGAATTGTTTCCTGCTTCTGCCAGGCTGGCTGGCTGTTGCTGCTGCTTTTCTCTTGCTCCCCGCTGGTGCCTTGGCCATTGGCATCCCTGCTAGGAATTCTCGCTATCAACAGGGGACTTTCATGTACTTGCTTGTTGTTCTTTTCTGTTTAGAAGCTTCTGTAGCTATGCTGGCACATATCTATCCTGACAGGATGGGATCTGAACTGACGGGCACCATGGGGCACCTTTTTCATCAGTACAATGGGACGCACTCCCATCATCCTAGCAACAGGGCTGTGGATACAATTCAGAAACAGCTGCAATGCTGTGGGGTGTACAACTACTCTGACTGGGTGAAGGCAGCACTTCCAGCATCATGTCATCTCCAAGCTAGAAGCATGTGTGTCCCTGAAAGCTGTTGTAAAGAGACTTTGCACTGCAGTGGTGATGTGAACCAGTCAGCACAGCTCTTTCAAGAGGGCTGTCTCAAGAAACTGAACTACCGGCTGCATTTTGTCACACACTTTGTATTTTGGTGCTGCGCTGTCCTTGCATGTTTGCAGGTTCTGGCTGCCATTAGTAACGGGATACTCATGAAACATCGGCCCTTCCAAGACTTACGAATTCTGGATTCTGCTGTGTTTTCATAGACTTTAGAACTGGGAAGCTATTTGACTTGTCCCTCATGCCCTGAGAACATGGGGCAGCATAAATGCCATTTTCTTTATTTACCTAGGCAATCCACGATCCAATTTTGCTGCTAGATTTCCTAAAAGCATAATTCCCTGTTTTAAAGAACTGTTAGACTCTTGGGTTTTTTTGTTCTTTTTTTTTTCTTTTTATAAAACTAAGTATTAATAAACATCATTTGATAATCCAATTGATCAGGTAGTTAAATTGGGAGAAGAGAAGTTTGTTGGCATGTGTGCTGACCTGAAATGGAGGAGGGTGGAAATGGATAAGCGTGGATAAAAGGGGAGGAAAATGGTGAGTCTGTACATGATGGTGAAATTAAACGCACAGATAAGCACTCGCAAAGTCATGTCCCAAATATGGAGTAAATCTGAAATTCTCCTGACTTTGACAGGATCATAGCTCTTACTTCTTAAGCTTCAGTTCAGTCCAACAGATAATTTTCTCCAGCCTTCAACCCCATGTGCCATATTAGCACATCCCTTCATAGAGAGAAAGGGATCAAAACAGAGGGCTATAGCTTTACTGTAAACTAATTTTTTTTTCCCCCTAAACACATACCAGGCATTTTTGGAATAATATTGGGATACAAATGTGCTTGCATAAACACATCATTATGTAGATGTTGCTCATCAAAGATAGTTCACGAATGGTAAATCACCTTAATTATAAAATACCAAGAGAGTGGAAATTAAAGAAGTGGAAAATCTAGTTAATGACATTTGAGTAACTATTATGCAGAAGATGGAAGAGATGTAGCTGGAGAGAGTCAACTTGAATTGTTGTGGGGAGGGTTAATTTAATAAACTCTTAAATATTCCCTAATCACTTATTAAATAGAAAGCATGTTTTGAACCTTTTTGTGGAAAAACAAAAGAAGAATTTATCCCATAATTCTAAAAAGCAAACTGGGATTTTATGCAAACTCAACCTTTAAAAGCAACAAATTCCTTTTAATAATAGATAGACATAATCATTATAGCTTTTCAAATAGGATGATAAGTTGTACCTGGTTTTAGAGTGCTGTGTTTTAAAAAGCCCCTGACTTTTATGGGGAAAAGTTCAGAGAATTTAAGTCAACTAATACAGCTAAACACATTTAAATACAGGTGCAAAATCTTAAATCAAACATGGCACGGAATGCACTTGACTTATAGGTACAGGCCCGCCAATAGAGGGGAGACATTTTATTAATGAATAAAAATAGGAATACAGTTGATCTGGGAAAGAGGAAACTTGCAAAGACACTAGAGGCAAATGGATGAGTTCAAGATATGGCTCTTTTAGTTAACTTCAGTTCATAAACATTTTCTGATTCAGTGGTTTACTATTGTGTTTCAAAGGCAAAATGAGGAAGAGGCTATAACTATCAAGAAAGCAGCCAATCCAGTGAAGAAATGATAAATAAAAATATATTACAGGATTAGAGTAAGAGGGAATACAGTGGCTCCTCCTCACCATCTACCTGTTTAGTTTGGAAAAGCTCATCTTTCTCCTAGATTATTCTTTCTTCATACGCCTTCTCCAGTTTGGGTACTGAAGGCTCCTAAAACTGGGTCTCTGAAAAGGCAGGAGCTGTTCTGCAGTGACCCCCATTTTACCTGTCAGCAATTTGGACTGATACAAATGACAAAAATGGTGCATATGTGAGAGAGAGCTAATTCACCCTGGTGAGGAGATTGCAGCAGGAACATGGATAAGGTACGTTTTCCCCTTCAAAATAACAGTCTCAGGCTGCATATTTTTACATGGCCACTAGCAGGATTTAAGCTTTTATAAAACCTCAATGCAAGGGAGAAAGAGAATGGTGTTCCCTTTGTGCAACCCAGAGGGTTTCCTACTGTAAAGAAATAGTAATGGCGCTCAGATACTACCCTGGTTCTTATGTCCTTCTCTGCTATTGCATTGCTCATTCAGAGATATGACCACACTTCTCACACGACATGCCAGTGATCAGCACTGCTAAAACATAGTAAATGGTACAGATGCAAGATATCAAAGAGAAACGGGAGGGAAAGAACTGAGGTCAATTAGAAAGTATCAGATGATCTTGCACACCTGGAACCCATCAGGTCTCTGTTAAAATAACTTAAGCCTTCACTGGGTCTACTTCAGTATTCTCAGGAGAAACTGTGGGTTGAACCTCTCTGTAATGCTCAGAATTTGGGATAAGTATTAAAAGGAGGCTTCTCGCACACTTTTTGTTATGGCTTTCCCAAAATGAGGGAAATCAGAGTTAAGCTAGAGTAATAGCACACAGAAAAAATACTTTTCTTAGTTTATATCTAATCCTTCCTAAGGCAAAATAATCTTTTCCCAGAGTGCGCTTTGGGGCTCCGACCTCTTAAATTTGGGAAGACAAAGCAGCTGCAGCCCTAGAGTGGGATTATGCTGGGCTCGGTAGCTGTTGTTTGTTTCTTGGTTCTTCTATCGTTCCAGCTAGTGATTAGTATGAACCCTTGTTAAACTTTTCTCCTTTTCTTTTTCTGAAATAATAGAACGTTCTTACAAGGGCGACCAGCCCCTTTAAACTGAATGATGTTCAGTTTTGTTCCTACCTTGGGATACATCAGTAGTAGAATTCACTGTAGGCCTTGCATATTCCATATCTTTTGAAAAGGGAATTTACAGTAACAAAAAATGCAAAAGGATTGTGGATGCAGGGGCTGGTTGAAGGCATTGTGCTTTGCATGGAGATGGTTGATAATTTAAGATGAGCCCAACCTGCTTCAGAAGTAGTTAAACACCTTAAGTGATGTAGTTAAAACAGAAGTTACCAGAGGTCAGACTACAGGTGTAGGCAATGTGTTTGGCCTTGAAATCAATGAACTTCTAAGGCCTTAAAACTTGAGCTGAGTGGTTTGCTTTAGTGAGGAAAATTTCCTTGCAGCAGATGCAATCTGGTAGGTAAGTATTGCCTGAAGACCAGTTTCCAAAGGGAGAAGACTTTACTAGTATCTGGCAGCTGCCACTTCAAACACCAGGAAGAAACCCCATTTTGTATGATTATCCCCTGGGTAAATGGATCTTTTGAAGCAGCAGACTGTCTTCTGAGATCCTTTCAATAAGGAGTCAGCATGACAGCCAGGAAGTTGACAAATGTTTGATGTTTAGTTGCCGTCTGAAGCAGTGAGGATGAAGGGTTTTGTTTCTGCTGCTATGAATATTTTTAGGGTGTCAGAAACCTGACTGTCTCCTGAGTCCTTGTCTGCTGTGTTTCCTCCCCCTTTTAAGGTGATAACCTTTTCAGAAATTCTGTACTACTTTGGCATTTACTGTGGGTCACTATGGAAACATAACCTTGGTTTCCATTCAGATAACAGCACTTTTATCCAGGGATTCAGAAAGCATGATGCACTGCTCAGCTTCATTGACTCACTGATGGGTCAAAAGCACCACGTGTTGTGCAGTGTGTAACTATATGTGATGTCAGTATTTGGCAGATGAGGAGAAAAGCTGAAGAGATGCCTTTTGACTACTTTGATTACTTAAGTTTTGTAACAGTTATGCAGACTTAAGTCTTGTTTGGTATTTCATGTGGAATTTCTCATCCTAGACTTAAAGGGACCAGTACTGCAAATGTTTATGCAATATGCATGGTGGTAACATCTAGTGGAACTGCTCCCCTAAGTAAAGGTACTCAGGAATGTCACCGTTGGTTTCCTGGTCCTAAGGTATGTGAATACTTGCTACTTCTGCAACATTTGCATAAGTATAACTTAAAGCCCAAGCCTTTAGGAAGCAAACAAAACAATATGATGATATTTCTATTTTGGTTCTACAGCTAAGTGAATCATAAGTTATCTGACATAGTTAGGGGAGTGTGAGTGGGCAGGAGGAGGTTGTCTTTTATTTCTAAAGAAGGGAAGTTTATTCTACTGCTTAAACTTATGCCTTAAGCATAAAGAGATGAATGCAGATTCCTTAAATGCAAAACTTCCCAACTACACCGAGGTGTGGCGGGGATTTTAACATGTTTTTGAGCACTATGCAATGACTGAACGTTACAGAAATACATTTACATTTTTTTTTTCTGTTGACCAATTATCTGCATGTTTTTGAACAGCATGCTCCTTAGCTGATATTATGGAAAAATCAGTATTTAGGTTGAGGAAAAAATTATTACAAGCAATTATCCTTTCTATTTGAATAAAGCATCACCACTTAGAAAACTTTTCCAGTGGTAATGAAAAATTAGATAATAAAAAATCCCTTAACTTATTCAGTGTGTGTGTCCCTCTCTGTGTTCACTACCCTTACATTTTATATATAAATGTAGTCAAGAAAATTTTAGTGTATAATCCATTTGGACATTCTCTTTCTTTCGATGGGAGGCTAAAATAATCTTGTTTAATCTTCAATTGAAATACATCAAAGCAAAGTTATCTGTCTTCTGGAGTTAGGCAAGTAATTAAAAAAGATGATGATGGAGAAGAAATGCTTATGGGTCCTTTTGTGCCTTGAATATAAGTTCATTGGTGATAAAGCCAAAACTGGTCACTAGGTAATAGTGGTACAATTTGTTTCCAAAATGTACCTTTTTAATTAAAGTAACTTTGTGTGGTCACTTGGAAAATGTGGGATGCCTGTGAGACTTGCATACAGGACATTTCTCATCTGTTTCTTTATCCTTTAAACTATGCCAACAAGTGTCTCTTCTGATAGCTATCAGCAGATGCAGTCAGCATGCCTTTTTATTAGGTCTGAAACTGTTAATTTCTTATTAAGGCTTATGTACTACCACCTAAGAAGATTAGCCAGAATTCAGCTTTGTTTGTTACTGAATTTATAACATTTGCATCTGAATTAATAAAGAGGCCTTTGATAATTTTTCATTGGCTCAAGACAGGGAAATAAAAACATAGCCTAATCACAGACTGAAAACATCCCTTTGAAAGGAGGAGGAAGTCACTTCTTTGAAGGATGAACTCTGTTGTCATTTTTTAAAGTTTGCTAAGTATATATTAACATGTATCAAGATACTGGCTCTTTGAACGAAGCTTACAATATTATTCTGGCTCTTTGAATGAGGCTTATTAATATTATTATGGTAGTGCCACCATCTCATAACTAAGCTCCAGATCTTGTATAAGGGTTTTGGCTTTGGCTGTGAGACAAAGTTAATTTTGGAATAAAGTAAAATGTGAAGTTCATTTGATGGCTATTGTGGAATTATTCCCTTTTTGTCTGGCCTTATTTCAGAAATGTTAGCTGTTACAAGGACAGCTGCTTTACTTAGTTTTCCCATGTAGGCCATCCTTAGCTTTACTGGCATCAACAGAGCTATTATACTTTATGCTGAGAATCTAGCTCTAAATTTACAATTTGCCTTTGATACTGATAAGAGAGCTTTTTGTGTTTATAGTATATTTGAATAGCAGCTTTTATTTTCAGTTCTGAGGGCAAGAATGGTAGCTTGAAACTTGGGAGATCTGAATTTGTTCCCAGACCTGCCAGATTTCCTGCGAGACTTTGGATAAGTTTGTGGTTTTTTTTGGACAAGAGCCAGATTTGGGAGGATTCTAGATGCTTCGAAAATCCCACCAGTTGTCTACCCACATCACGTACCTAAATACCTTTGAAAATCTAGACTTTTTCACTCTGTGCTCAATTATACATATTCAGAATGAGGGTAAGTATATTAGCCTACTTCACAGAATCATTCTGAAAATAAATAGGTTAAACCTAGCCCCCTCCTGTGACTTTCCCCATTGATCAGTGTTAATAATTTTTAAACGTGATTTCCCTGGAAGTTGGCTGTAG